TTGTTCGGAATCTTTGGCGCCGTGTAGTGGTTCATCAGTCCTGCATCTGCAGGCAGCCAGACCTGGTTATCATGGAGTACCCGGCCATAGAGACCATTGAGAGGTTAGTGCCTTCGATGAAACTCGCGGCGATTCGAGGCAGTCTGTTTGTCGCGGTTCGCAGCCGAGGCAAAGCGGCTCAATGAGTCGTACTCTCAGAAGATACTAATCTTCGACTTCTCAGAGGAGCCCTACGAAAGCAGCAAGTTTGATGGCGAGGCGGTCCGATCAGTTTGGAGCCCAGGGCCGTGATCCATACCACTTCCGACATGGATACAGCAGTCCTACTTGTATCATCTCATGAGCCGCAGTGCCTTTCCTTCATGGTTGTTTCTCCGGTTGCCAGTGCTGAAAGAATGACTCGTGACTAGCAGTGCGAGTATTGATGCGTCGCCCCGACGGGCAAGGCCTTGCTATAGTACATGTGCAGTTTTTGTGATTGCGACTGTTTTTCAAACGACATAGTACATCATAAGAAAGGTTGCGGCTGTGCGATTTCACTCTTTTAGCCAGCAGCAGCTACTTTTGCAGGTCTTGCTGCTCGTGATGAGAACCACTAGTAACTAGTATACGGATAGTTTTTGCCCAGATCCGTCTTACCAATCTTGTTGCCGTACCTTACCTTCCTTACAATTGTATGTTGAAACACTTGCTCTTGCTCTTGCCTCCGAACACCTCATGATTTCCACTCTGCGAGACTATGTATCTGACCTGACTTTTGCCCTGGAAGATCGTCGGCATCAACATGCAGAAGATGGAAGTGCCGCCGCTGAGCCTTGCCTGCTGTGATCCATGGCCCCTGGCATCTGCATCGGCCATTCGTCCTCTGATGCCCGTTCTAGATACTGTACTACAGTAGTACGGAGGCGTGCTATCGACAGGGTCCAGCTGCATGTTCGTGCGAGAACCCAGGAAGCTGGTGGCGGAGCTTTGTCTCACGGCCAGCCAGTGGCTGGCGACTGACTCGGGCCACCTCCTGGTGCTGCACTGCCGCTCAGGCCTCTCTTTGCACTCCTGCTCCTCACTCTTGGCTGTGGGTTCCGTAAAAGTAAGGGACTCCAAGAAAGTTTTTCGGCAGCCACCGAAACCTTCAGTACCCCCAAACCTAAAAATCACTACGCTGCTTAGCTCATGGGGGCTGTTGGCAACGTCATCTTGGAGGGGGTTTGAACCGGGGTTCCGCCAGCAGGTTCCTGCATTAGGCCGGAGTTGTGGTTCCGGGGACAGGCTATGGCCGGTCCGGGCTTTTTGGCGCCTGCTTCGAGTCCTTTCGGACGCAGCGAAGCCCAAAGGACCCGTTCGCTGTGTGACGGCGGGTGCTGTTAGCAGATTTGGTGATATGGCGCATATACGAATGTAACGAGTTCTTGCATTACTACCATCACTTGCTCGCCTTGAAGTGTTCACTCACGCCCTTTCAGGAGGCTCTGCAGGCCATCGCCGAACGCCTGCCTCTGCAGATGCTACCATCCCAGCAACGATACCTTGGAATCCTGGCGAACTGCTCAACTTCTCTTCTCCAAGGCTTGCTGGTCATGCTGAAGATTTCCGGGTTTAGGGCAGGAGTTGAGCGTTTTTTCATGTCACGTGCCCATGTTGCAAGCCGAGGATACTTCCACCAGTTCCTGGAGGCAAAAACGGGCCAGACATGTCGAGACATGAAACCAACCGCATCATCTACTGGAGCAGCGGTAAGACGTGGCTCCCTCCAGGGCACTACGCCGCAGCCAAAGCGCTTGCGCTTGTCCAAGGCAGGATTCGGATCACATGCTGGCAGTGCCGCATGAGTGGGATGCAGCGATGAATCTCTGTTTAGCGGTCTATTGTCGCTTGCGACCGAGGCCTTGCTGAGTGGCGTGCCAAACTTTGAAGCTGAGGGTGCGCCTGCTGCAACCAGCTAAGTCTTTGAGGAATCCGCCCCGGTCTTGGTTAGGATGCTAGACAGGTGCAAAAGTGTAGGAAGGGGCATGGTTTTGGATTCTACCTGAATGAACACTGGACTCAACTTTCTCGGCCACCTTGAGAGCGTCTGTCTGTTGCGAGTGTGGGAGCACGGGCTCCGTCTTGTTCCAAACTGCAAGGAAGTGTTGCTTTCAGACCCTTCATCGAAGTGTGGGTCGCTGGAGAGCTGGCCTACTCCTCCTTCAAAGGTGGCAAGAGCGATGAGGCAAGGTATGTTATTTTCAATCCCAAGCCCTGTCGCCGGCTGGGCGGTGTCAAGGTCTTGAATTCACCTCAAAGGATGCATCGATGAATCAAGTCGGTTTTGCCAGGCCGTGTGGCCCAGCAGCTACGCATCCAGTGATTCCGTCAGCGGCACAGACTTTTGACGGATTCAGATCTTGAGAAAGACCGTGCTGCAGCATGTGAGTTGAGTTTGGAGGTGGTGGCTTTTCCGCTGCCTGGACAGCTAGTCGTCTCGGGGGACGTGCTGATCCAGGTGGGCGTGCAGAACGCTAAACGCCCATTTGTGGACGGCGGCTTGTGCCTTGCAGAGGTTTTTCACCTCTACCTGGATGCTAAGCGGGAGCTAGCAATGAAACTGGCTTTCCACACGAATTTCGTCACAGAAGGCAGGCCCTCCGCGTTTTAGCGATGGCTCTGCCTCAGACAGGGTTGGACACAAGGTTGAAGAGCGTGGTGCAAGCCGCATCAGGAATTCCAAGCATGACGCAGAGGATTAACATTGCTTGGTTTTCAGAGTCCTGTGCGAGGTTTGCAGCTCAGCAAGTTTGAGCTCGATGCAGCTTGCAACGACGATCGGTTTACCGACGACTTCTTCGTGGACCTGGTCTTCGAAGAGGCTCTGGGCGGAGCCTTCGCCAATTCATGCCATGGCCCTGGCATGCCCTGGCGGCCCCAGTGTAGGTGCCGAGAAACGAAGACTCAACAGAGGAAGAAGAGAAGGCTCCCCAGCCACTGCCAGTCGTAGCATTCCTGTACACGCGACTGCCCATGCTCGCCCCGCCCCGCCCCCCATGTCCGCAAGGTACAGCAAGCGGCAGCCGAGGATGCCCTCGTTTTCGAGAAGGACCTTCCACCCGTCTCACGCTCTACGTCGCATCTCGCCTTTCGCCTCCCCCTCTCGCGCAAGGCTCGTGTCGCCTCTGCAGAGCTCCGTGAGCAGGCGGTGCACGCGGTGCAAGGGGGATGCCCCTTGGGCCCAGGAGGTTTGCAGCTCAGCCTCCGGCCAGGATGAGAAGAAGCGGGCGCAGGCTGCGGAGGCACAGGGAGCTGAGGACGTGGAGGCTGAGCTCGAGGCAGGGTCAGGGTCTTCCACTTCTTCAGTCCTGGTTTGACGTCTTTGCTTTGTGAGGCCATTCTTCGTGAGGCTCCTGCAGAGGGGTCCCCTAAAGACATGGCCAACGGGGGAGGAGGAGGCCATCGCATGCGACATTCGATTGAACCCAGATTGAACCTTGCCGAAGCTTCGCTGTCAGGTCAGGATGGCGACAAGGAGCGTTTTCTGCAAAGACGGTTTCCGGGATCCAAACCGAGAGCCCAAAACCCAGGGTTCACGATGGCGGTCCACGAGTGATTGTGCATCCTGTGGTTGGGCTATCCTTGCTTAGTCGACGTCGAAAAGCTTAAGAATGCCATAAACCCTCTAGACTCTGGGCTATAGGCCTACAGATCACAAAACGCCTCCAACACCGGGGGGGTGCACCGGGGGGGTGTCTCGAGACCAGGAGCTGCGCCAGGCGCTGGCTGCAGCCGCTGAGGAGTCGGAGCAGAAGGCGCCCAGAGCCAAGGAGAGGAGATGCCTTAAGCGTGAGAGTGCGGTACTCGTGCGGCTACCGTACTGTATGCTATGATATGATAATATTATAAATTATAAAGCTGCGGCAGGGATTTTGTAAGGGTGGGTTCTGCAACCAGGGTTGACATGACGCGATCCTCCTGGGAGGTGGAGAAGCCAGTCGAAAAGGCCGCCGACAAAGCACCAGCTGCTGTGCAATCTGCCGATAAGCCGCCGGTGAAGTCTGCAGAGATTGATAATCTTTTCAGCGGCTGGTTGGCATTCAGAATGCCAAATCATCCGAGCTCGCGAATGCTCTGCAGAAAGTAGCTGCATGGGTCGGTGCCATGACTCAGGTGAGTTTGATGCAGTCCTGAAAAGTGGCACGAAAGGCCGCAGAGTCTTCATGCAGAACCATTGCATAGTGCGCGGAGATGTCGTCGCAGATGGTGCAGAACCTGCCTCAACTTAGACATCCTGGCTGAAAAGGTGAGGCTGCAGCAAAAGGTGGTGGTTACGGCGAGAGCACTTCGAAGCCAGCGGCTTCGACAAGCAAAGCCGAGAAGAAGGCGGATTCCTTCCGTAGGTAGAGCCTAACGGTTGAATTTGCATGCCTGCGTGCCGCCGTGCATGCAGGACATGTTCGCCGAAGTGGACGACTTTCTGAAGGAGCTCGATGGCGGTGGCAGCGGCACCAAATAGGAGTGTACGCTGTCTCCGGCTGATTTGGGGCTCCCTTTCCTTGTAGTGGCCAGCGCAAGAAGCACCGTTTCACCTCAAATTTCAAGATGCACGACCTGCACTTCCTGTGCAGGTTTTGCTCCGTTAATTGCGGGTGGGACTCGACCCATTGCGCTGCTGGAAAAGCTTGGCGACCCTTTAAATGCATGTCAAGTTGTGCCATTTTCAGCTTACTCCAAAGTCCGAACACAAAACGACCGCTTCTACTAGAGCACTTTCGACGCAGACTTGTCCCGGCTGGTGTGTTGATCCAGGTCGCCCGCAGGCTTCGGTGGCAGAGCACCGGTGAGCGAACGGTGAGGGCGCCGCTGCATAGTAACATGTGCCGCAGATTGTTTAAAGTTTAAAGACCGGGGAAGGACGTCAAGGCGTCTCCGCACGTCTCCGTGCCGCGGATGCTGGTTGCTGTACTGTAGAGCATGTATACCACCGCTGGCTGGGATCTCGCAGCAGCTCTTTTCGGTTCACTTGGCCAGCGCAGGTCGCTCGACGACGAGACACGGCGCTATCTGGAAGCTTGGTTTTCATAGTACAGCAGCATGTGCAGGTGCAGCTGATCTGGTCAGGGCAGCAGAATCCCGAGTTCTGTTGTTCCCCGAAGGACGTGTTGCCCCATTCATCTAGCTGTGTGCCAAGGAGGGTTTGCCAGCGGACCTGAAGTGTGAGGTGGGCCGCCCTGCGGTGCCCGCCGGACGGACTGGTTGGTGCTCACCTGCACTGTGCCCAGGTCTTGTACGGCTTCCACCCCAAGGACGGCAAGTGCTGGACTCGGAGAGAAGGATGAGCCGTTTCTGCACGGATCCATGACACCCGCACCGATCCAGACAGTTCGTTTCAGTAGGCAGGTTGGCCCGGATATCTTCAGTCTGTCACTTGCACACTCAGCAGACGTGTTTCCCTAAATTGAATCGCTACGTGAATCTGTCGACGGTTGCACAGGCAAGACCCCGGAGTGCAAATTCGAAGATTCACGCAGAGCATTGCTGGGAGCCTAAGAAGGTGCGAACTTGACACATCCTCCATGCCTGGAAAAGGTTCAGTTGTGGTTGCCGAAGAAGGTGCGAACTTGAAACATCTTCTATGCCTGGACAGTTCAGTTGTGGTTGCTGCACACAGTAAGTGCAACCGGAACCCTCATTCTACACTAGCTGTGAGAGTCGACACTACGTGAGCTTGTCAGTCTAGACAACCCAAAGCTGCTGGTAGCACGGAGTCTCGGCTCTGAGGCAGACAAGCAGGGCATAGTCCTTCCGCCGTCGCGCGGCTCTCAGCCACAGTGTCCGCAGAGGCTGCACGCAGTTTGTGACATGCGGGAAGGCTGCGGCTCGGGGCTGGGACAGCCACGCCCAGTTCAGCGCCTTTGGCAAATGCAGGGGGCCTGCAGCAAAGCGACCCGCACGTGCGGGCTTGTGATCGTGCCTGGACGAAGCTACTCCCTGCGCTGTTGGTTCAAGCAGGCGCTGATCGGTGTAGCCTCAGAGGTTCTAGACCAAGCTCAGCACTGAAGGAATGGTGTAAGCCTGGCACAGAAGTCACCTTGACTCGAGGCTGAACAACCAGTTGGCAACCTTGTTCTTGTTGGCTTTGCTCTTAATGTTCGACACACGGGAGACCGACCCGTTTGCGCTGGAATGCAGCCCCGCGCAAGCTGACTCTGCAGCTCTGGACTGTGTCCATGTCCATGTGTTTACAACTCCATTGTTGAGCTGTTTTCGCATTCGATCCATCCTTCTCCGCCTCTGTTCCAACAGTTCGGTGAAGGAGCTGGTAGTGGAAGTCAGCGGCGAGATCTTTGTGCAGATTGTACAGGCTCATGTTAGCTAGAAGTATCTGTCGTGCTGAGGGAGAGCGTTCAGTTTGGGGACGGAAAAGTTTGTGCAAGTCTTACACTCGGGTGAGTCAGCATACGTTGATCGATGACAGTGACTACGACTTTAACAATGACGAGGCAGTAACGAGAGAATTCCCAATTTGTGCGGCAAAAGCTTCCAACGCCTGGAGCAAAGAGATTTGGTAGCGCACGCCCTGCAAAAGCGTTCCCGGTGACGCGGCTCCTGCTGAGCCGGATTCGCTGTAAATTCCGATGCATGGACCAATGCATTGCAGCCCCCCTTCAAATCGCGGCAGTACTTGAGGGGAAGGATTGTGGCAGTCCTTTCGAAGCCCGCTGGTAGGAGAGGAGTAAGCGCACTGATTCTGAAGCGCGCAGGACAGCATGTTGGTACGGTATCCGCCAGTACGTGGGCGAAAGCATGATGGCCGCGCTCCAGAATCCTCCTAAATTTCCCGACTATGTCTCCTGGGGTCGCTTGGTGGTGGCCTGGTGTTCACTGGATGCTGTAATGGTTGTCTCTTGGTGGTGTCCTGGGGTCTCCTGCCGCACTCGGCTTTGTGGTGGTCTCCTTGTGTTCTCCTGGTTGTTTCGTGATGGTCTCCTAATATATCATATATCCTAATATTCTCCTGGTCGTCTTCTCGCGTTGTCCTGTTGTGGTTTGTCGTCTATTGGTGGTCCTTGTGATCCTGGTGGTCGTTGTCGTAACGGTGGTCGCGGTGCTCTTTCCCTATTTGGGGATCTAAGTTAGCATATTTGTTTGGATTATGCTAGGGATGATATCAGCTGGGCCCGCGCAGGGAACTCTCGCAGGCTCAGTTCATTGTGGTGTGATGACGATAAGGTAGGCGAGGCTGACCACGACGATCAAGAGGAACAGGATCTTGATGATGAAGACTGAAGACGATGTGGTTGGCACTGTGTCGCTTCTTTTGTACTGTGACACGGCCCTGTGTGGTAGACAGGCACTGGTGGTACTCGCCGCAGACGGCTATCCCCGTGCGATACGTTCTACACCGGCTCGGCGGCCCCTTCGTCGCAACTTCGATATCCGTTTCGTTGTGACGTGGGGCTGTTTGTGCTGAACATGTGCGTTTGCAACGAAGCATGCGTAGGCTGATGCCCCAACATGCCACTTGAGAATTAAGATGCTGCGAGATCTTTGGGACGACCGTCTCGATGAGAATGCTGTTATTGTTTCAACGCGCTTAGGTAAGCAACTGCCCAGACGGAAGTGCAGTATTGAGAACCAGAAATTATGCAAACATGTGGGGATAGAGGCATGCCCGGGGTTTTGCCGCATGAGGAATGCTGCGCTGCGCGCCCAGCATGGCAATGCAGAGAAGGCGGCCTCGGAGGCCCTCGAAGAGGAGCCGGTTTAGCCAAGGGAGAGCGAGAAAATGTGATTCCAAAGATTTCCGTATCTCAGTTGCTATGTTGCCCCCACGCGAGGGCGAAGTTCGTAGTGCAAGTGATGAGAGGTGTACAGTGGAATCGTGAAAAACTTTAGCATTCGGACATCCGCTAAGGCTCTAAGTAGCAGTCAACCCCAAGGACGACTGCACGGAAGAGCTCCGTGAGCGGCTGCTGCGGCTGGTGCCCATCGTAGGCGAATCCGGTTGTAGAGGTATGGCATGTCCCGGCCATTGACCCTGAGCTTCCTTCGGTGGAGTGCTACGGATGCAGGGCAGTTAGGGCTTCTGTGCCTGAAGAACTATATGGATGCAGGCGGAAGATCGGTGACTCAATGTCCGCCCCGCCAGGACTGCCGTCATCCTTGCTGTATCCGCTGTGGAAGCTGCTACGCAGGCTGGTTTGTCACAGCGGCACCTGACAGCATTGCACGAGATGGTGATGGGTGCATGGCATTGATGCGGCGCTGCCAGCAGCAAGCCCCCATGAGTCATGGCACATGGCAGACCAGCAAGAGCCAACAGTCGCGAGGAGTGTCTATCAAAGTTCCTGGCACGGAGGACTTGTCTGGTGGCGAGCATTTTTGGGCACGACCTCCAGCAGGAAGTGTGTCTGATGTTCTTGCATGTTCCCGCTGAGTCCTTGTCCGGATAGTCGCATCCCACGCTTATCCACGCTTGCGAGGAGTCCGTTTTGGCCGAGGTCCTGCTAGCGGCCGCAGGCAGTCGCCGAATGTCGCGTGTTTGGGAAGTTTGGGTGGGCGACGACATTGGTGCGTGCAGGACTTGGGGCAACGCCGGCAGGCGAGCGACGCCTTGCGACTTGACTGAGACAAGCCTTGCCCTAGAAGTTGTAGCAGCCGGCCCTGTCAGGAGATGGCCGCCAAAGCACTCTGGCGGCGCATCGCGGGGCGCTGGGTGCTCTGGGCGTTTTTACGCAACATCTGCGTAAAGACGGTTGCTTTCAACTTGAAGCCGTTGACTGCCCGTCCCTTGCTCTGAAACTGTCGCCAGCCTTGCGGCTTGTTTGCAGCATGTTGAGCACAGTCAGCCAGGCAAAATCCTTACCGGTGGCAGCTCTCCTAGCCCAGCTGCTGGATCTCCAAGGTGAGTTCTGTCCAGGGTTAGCAAGACACAGCACTGATTGCTTTCATTCTTGCAACAGTACGGAAGGTCATCAGTCATCTTCACGACCACAACACTAGGACCAGCCACAAGAAGCAACATCGTTAGAATCATAGGATTTCGTGCTGTTTCGGCGGTGTTTCGTCTCCGCCCAACAAGAACTTGCAGCATACGAACTTGCATGACCATCGTCAAGCACAAAAACGTCCTCACTATCCATCAGAAACAGGCTATAATGGCTTACAATCCGGAGTATCAGACCGGAGTAGGACTACGCATGATGTTGCAAATTCGGTCTTCATAGTTTCTGCCGTTGAAGCCGTCAGCAGTATCATCGTCATCATCATCACCACAATGACCGCATCCTTCACAACTGTAATCACCATCATGCTCAGACACGGTCCATGGTAGCCATGGTAGAAAGGATAGTCGCTCGTCGCACCTATGGTGTACATATGAGAACCAACAAGTTGGCTGCAATGCTAGAACAAAAAAGAAGTAAGTGTAACAAGCACCTGGCAGCCTCGATAATCGCGTCGCGCCGGTTATTGGTCATGCTAGTCGACGCTGCCACCATCATCGTGGCCATCATCTCATCAGCGTCATGGGCAGCCCTATCAGTGTAATGACCCGCTAAACATGCTAGCCATAACCGTACTACCATCACCACTTATCACGGTCACAATAATTGTGTTACCCCCGATTGCACCGCAACCACCAACCCAAAGCAGCTCAGGGCCCAGCTGCTACTACTACTACTACTACTACTACTACTACTACTACTACTACTACTACTCTACTACCACTACTACCACTCCTGCCACTGCTGCCACTACTGCCACCACTACCACACTACTACTGTACTACCACTACCACTACCACTACCACTCCTACTCCTACTCCTACTCCCACTACTCCTACTACTCCTACTACTCCTACTACTCCTACTACTCCTACTACTCCTACTACTCCTACTACTCCTACTACTCCTACTACTCCTACTACTCCGGCTGCTGCTCCTGCTGCTGCTGCTACTGCTACTGCCCCTGCCCGCCCCTGCACTACGGCCACTACCACCGCTACCACCACTACCACTACAACCACGACTGCCACGACTGCCACGACTGCCACGACTGCCACGACTGCCAGGACTGCACGACTGCCACGACTGCCACGACTGCCACGACCGCCACGACCGCCACGACCGCCACTACTGCCACTACTGCCACTGCCACCACCACTGCCACTGCCATTTCCACCACCACTGCCACTGCCACTGCCCCTACTTCAAGTGGCAAAAATTACAAGTAAGCACAGAGAAGCAAGTACTTCTTTGCCCAGGCGTAGCCGACAACATGGTGTTGCAGCATTTCCGCGATGGGCCTGGTGTCCAGGACTTCCGAAGTACCACTTCAAATAAACTGTTCAGCTGGGCAGTGGCAGCATATTTGGCATGCACGAGAATTGAGGACCAGTTCGCAAGATAGACAATGAATGGTTTGTGAGAGCTAGAGACGAAATTTTGCAGGGAACCCGAACAAGTTGACCGCAAATGTGAAAGTGCATAAACAGGTGAGAGACGTTTTTTGGTTCCCGCTTCTCCGTAGAGTACATGAATGAACCTTTCTAGGCTTGTCCGCTGTGTTTGGTTCCAAGGACCCATCACAAGTCCTGAACAGACGAAAGCAGCAGCAGGGTGCCTCACATGGGGCTATGTGACTTGCGGGAGACTTTCCATGAAGAACTTCGTGCCGCAGAAATTGTACGGAAGCGTAAGAAGGGGGGGATAAGTCACCTACACTTATTCTCACGCTTGTTTCACCTGTCCCGAGTTTCTTTTCGTGTGGATGTCGGCTCATTTCACGATGTCGTGTTACTTGTGACGTCATTCCTGGATTCGCAACCCGGCAGTCACCGTGTACTTACATCTGTCTGATTCCTTTCGCACTCTTGCCCAAGGCCTGATCCCACGTTCCTACGTTCGCTTACCGAATCTGAACTCACTTTATGCCATGGTCTCGACTTTGATCTGGTGCAGAACTCCTGTAGTCCTGGCAGTGCCATACTCGATGACAAGTACTGTTCCTTTGAGACCTAGATTCACTCCCTTTCCATTTTGGGTCCCTGGCTTATTGAGACTGAGAGCCAGTCTAAGAGTGCGAGCAAAGGACTTCAGGCAAGAGCTCGACCCAGAGCCGACCGTGGCTGACTTTCTTCAGCTGCTCCGTGAAGCTGGGAGGAGTGTGCAGTACAACAGCAGTAGATGAATTGTGTTGTTCTAGCTTGGAGTTGTTCTCATGGTCTCATCATCAACGATATGCCGACGGCATGCTGAACTGTTGCCGAGCTGAGCAGGCAGACATTGGAAGCCGCGGCTGGTGTGGCCAGGAGACTGTCCGCACAAATCCCTGCATGGATCATTAACTTCAGCATCTCCAAACTGCATAGCTGCTTGAGTTCAACAGTCAGGACGTGGCGTTCCGACACATGACGTTCAAAATGAACACATCACCGGAGGAAGACGTCCCTTAAGGCTTGCACAGCGTTACGGTCCTCGGCCGTAAAAGAAGCAGAGACGTTAGTGCAAGCGGCCGGTCATGCACAGCACGGCCATGTGTCTTCAAAGTCGTCGTGGTGCTGAGCAATGGGTAGCCGCCATATTGGTGACCCGACATACCCAGATGCCCTGGCCAAGGCCCAAAGTGGCACTCCGCAGAGCTCCACTACCGCCAGCAGACCTGAGCTTAGCGATAGTTGACATGAGGGTGAAGGCGGTGCCGAGCGATGCTGAGCCCGTTGCAGCATTTCGAGGCTTTTCCCAAAGGTCACCGACAGCGCTGGAGCAGCTGCCTCAGGGGATTTTCATGATTAGAGCCTAGCACGGCACTGGCCGCCGTGCAGGTCGAAGCAGACGCTGCAGGAGGACGCGTGTTGGAGCTTGTGGCTGCGAAGGGACAGAGTCATGGGAGCACTGTGGGTCATGCACAATGGGGCGAGTGCAAGCACACGTGTGCGCCTTGAACCGGTGGCTCAGTCAGGCTTGGCAAAGAGCAACAGGATTGCGCCTTCGGTTGGACACACCTCGTGTTTCCCATGTAAGCGCGACGCAAGCAACCCGCACACCTGGCAGGAGCGTAGCTTGATGTTTGGATGTGCATCTAGTCTTGAGATCTGCTTGCCATGCCTGGGTCCGGGCTGTCCCAGAGCCCTCAAAGCCAAGACAGAGCAGCGAGGGCTACGAGCTTGGCCGGTGCACTAACGCTGTGCACCTTTGGTGGGCTTGGATGCTTTCTCTGGGCCGGCGCTACATCACAGCTAGGTGGGACCACAAAGTGGTCATACCGCCAGCAGACGCATAATTTAGTGCGTCGAGTTGTAGCAGCCCCCCCTGCTGAAACTGCCCCTCCTTCAGTGTCGGAGCCACAAGCCCACAGCACCCGTGGTCAATGGCTGGAGTGCTTGATACAGCACGAACTGCAAAGTCGGGCGAACAGGAAGCACGCCGAGGTGTGGGTGCTTCGACGCGGCCATATCAACTTCTTCCGCAGGTTTCTTGCACTTCGTGGCTTTCATGCCTGGAGCTCCAAATCGGAACTAAAGTGCCGGGAGCGCGGCATGGACTCCGACATGCGATGTGTGGAGTGCACTCGCCTGCTGCACGGTGGGTTCTATGGCCACATGGGCGTCGCAGTTCCGGCACATCCGCCTGAAAGGGCTGTCTTGGGCTGCTTAGGCTTGTCCAAGGCAAGGAGTTGACCAAACCGGCACTGCTATGATGCATTGACTGAGTGAGCCATTCTGAACTTTTGCACCCTCTGAGGTGCTCAATGTGACGAGCGACTTGGTGCTAATATGAAAGGGTCGTGACACCGGGCGGACTGGGCGCGTTTAAAGGGTCCTCGTCATGAGTTGGTTGCGCCTCCGTGTGTGCGGAGCTCAGGTGACCCTGCAGATGACCAAACCGGTGGCTCATGGGATGCGAATCCCACGCGCCAGTTTTCCTTCTGCAACACTATGCGCATCAAATATGACGACGCCTGAACCGTTTCACGGAGAGAGTGAGTTATCGAAAAAGCATTTGGACTCAGGGCAATGCGCGCTGCAGCCCCTGCTCCAAGAAGACTTCGGGTTTCCACTCTGCTGCGTCAATGAGTCTCTAGTTGGCCGTGGTTCGACATGTCTTGGCCCAAGAAGGCTCGACAGTTCGACAGTGATACGGAGGCCTTTGGCCAAGCTCAAACCTGAGTGCCCCTGCCATGGTCTCAGCTCGTGGCACTGGCGACCGGCTCGAGGAACAGGCAGGCATGGTATGGCTGCGTGTGTGTCCCCTCAAGACTTTTTCGCGAGTGAACGCGCTCCATCTTCTATCTGGACATAGAAGGCTAATCAATAATTGAAATAGAAGGAGGCTCAGCAATCCTACGGAGTGCCTGGATTGGTCATCCAGGGGTACCTGCATGTTGAGCAATGGCAGGGTGCCAAGGCACAGATCTCGATAACATCTTCAGGTCGCTATACTTGCCGCTTCAATGGTGTGGGCTAAGCCAAGAACCCCAGCAAAATTGCAAGTGTTGCACTGGCTGAGCAGAAAGTAGCGGCCTTGGCCCCATTTGGAGGCCGCTCAGTGGAAAAATGCATAGCAGCATGGCGCATATGGCCCAAGTCTAAGCATCTGTGTGTTCTTATGTGTGTGTGTGTATGAGTGAGTAGGTGAGTGGGTGAGTGAGTGAGCGAGTGCAAGTGTGCGACTATGCGAAATGGCGCATCTCGATGCGGAGCAGCCACGGGCACACGATATGCTCTTGCACCCCGGCAGGTAGTCAGAGCGGATGACCACAGGCCCCGCAGACTTCAGACATAAGTGGCTGTCTCGACAACGGCTACCAGTAGCCGCTAGTCAGTCACACAGACAGCAGGCTGCGTGTTGGGGATTCCCGTTTCATTTCTTGTCGTTGGAGCTTGTGCCCGTAGGACATGGGGCGAGTCAGTAGAAGACAGAAGTTGAGGGCTAAATACCTGGAAGCAGGCCAAGAAACAGTCAGCATCCCCTGCATTGGGAGTGCCCTTTGCCATTGAAAGGCTTGCACTTGAAATTTCGTGTGCATCCTTGTAGCAGCCTGGCTCTGAGCAAGCTCCGCCTGCCGGACAAGTGCCCGCACCAAGCTCTCTGCTGATCAGCCAGCTTCCCAATTTCCGTGACCTTCATCTTGCGAGTCTCAGCGCGGCGCAGCTCGGCTCCGGCTGCAGGTTGTGTCCATCTGCGCACCATGGGTGGCTACGGCAAAGCAAGCGGGCTCCTGGCCACCAAGACCATGGCTCTGGATTCGGTCCTCTGCGGTCTGTCTGTCTGTCTGTCTGTCTGTCTGTCTCTCTCTCTCTCTCTCTCTCTCTCTCTTGCATCGTGTTGTGATTCCGCAAAGGAAGGGTGGCAAGGGCATGAAGGGCATGAAGGGTGGCAAGGGAAAAGGAAAGGCAGGGTGGATAGAACAAATTGCATGTGGAAGGCTTGATGAAAGACGCTGGCTTTGATACATCAGCAATGCAGAACGTGCAGCCAGAAGCTCCGTCACAGGCACCAATCGATGATTGGGAAGATTTCCCCCCTATGCCGAAGGGCAAAGGCCAGCTGCAGATAGTCTACGACGCTGCCTCTTCCGCGAGCGCGTGCGCAGGCAAGGGGAAGGGAAAGATGGAACCCAAGGGAAAAGGAAAAGGCGGCATGAAGGGGAAGGGCTCCGACCTCAGCTCACAGGTGCTTTTTTGCTGTTGCGTTTCTCTCCGGCTGGGCGTGGCAGGCAAGGGAAAGCCGTCCTGGGACGACTATGACTACGAGCCCCCCATGATGAGCAAGTCCAAGGGCAAGGGCAAGGGCAAGGCATCTCGGGGTCCGTAAGCTGGCCTTGGTACTACTGCAGCCATGGATGCGAGTCGGTTGCTTCCAGATCACGGACTCTGTAATCTTGCCCTTCAGTTGAGGGAGGTGCAAGGTAAGATAGTTGCCTAATGTGCAGCATGCGCACTGTATGACTCGGAAGTGCACTTGAACTGCTTTAGCGGTGGCTTCGGTGTTAGATGGTCGCCTGGAATGGGATGGAAAGTTGCCAGTTTAGAAGGCATGTTGTTTGCATGACAATCGATTTCGTGTGTTCTCGAGCGGAATGGTGCAGGAAGCATGAATCTTCCAAGATGCCTCCCAACCGCCTTCAGCCTCCAGGCTTCTACATCCTACCATGTCAGTGACGGTTCCTGGCAAATCCTCAGACGAAATGTATAACGAGGGCGCCCGGCCCTTTTTCACCAAGCAGTGCACGTTTTGGGGTTCTCTCCTCAGGAATAAAGTGAGGTGGCCAGGGTCTGGGCTCGGGTCCTGAGCTTCCTGGTATCTCTTCGTGATTTGTGGCTTTCTCTCTGGTCTATTTTCACTCGTAAAGCCGACTTGGGCTCCTGAAACGAAGCTGCCTCTCGCCATTGTCTACTGAAACAGGCGACCCTGGTATGTTAGAGAGTGTCTCGGGGCTAGAGTTGTTTGATGACGGTGGTTGTGCGTTTGGGGTTGCTGCGGTAGTTTCCTGGGAAAAGAATGCCGATGTTTCACGCTTTGGGTGGGTGGCCGCCGGTCAAATGCCAGAGTTTTCAACACCAGCACAACTTGTAAGTTTGAACATGTTTCCAATTGGACATTCCATTGCAAGCCCGGCCACTCTCAACCCATTTGTTGCAACGAACCCAGGTTGGCTGATTTTCAACCATTCTTGGATCCAGAATCCAGAGGAGCATAGCTCCAAGAAGCAATCCTATCTTGCTCTTGGTGCCATGAGATGAGGTCACCATGTGTCATCTGCACATGTAGCGGGCCAGGCCTACGATTACGACGAGTACTGGCCAGCACCTGCCCCGGCCAAGGTGGAATGCATATCTTTGGAAACTGAGGGGAGGTTCTTCCAAGGTGTGAGCCAAAATGACATGTGACTCCTGAATCTGTCGCTTCAGGGCAAAGGAAAGGGAAAGGGAAAAGGCTGGTCCGACTACCCAGAGCCCAAGGGCAAGGGTAAGGGCAAGGCGCGCAGAACGTACCGTTCTCTTCCATTCAGCAAACCCGAACCGGCGAGCATTCGGAGGCCAAGGGAAAAGACATGGACATGAAAGGAAAGGGAAAAGGCAAAGGCAAGGGCAAAGGCGGGAAAGATGCGACGATGAGGGGAGAGGATGTTCCTCACAGCACCTTCTGTTCTTGTAGCGTATCGAGAGAAACGTTCTCGGGAGGAAAGCCCATGATGTATGATTATGAGGAGGATTACATGCCCATGAAGGGAAAGGGCAAGGGTAAAGGCCTGGTTCGTGTGCAGCCATGGCATTCTCAGGCTATGTTTGAGTCGATTTTGGCGCAACCTTCCGTCGAGTCACTCGCAGGAAAGGCCAAAGGCAAAGGCAAGATGGATATGGAGCCGCCCAGCAAAGGAAAGGCAAAGGGCAAGGGCAAGAAGGGCAAGGCGGGAGAGTACTCTGCGAGTTGGCGGATGCATTGCAGCTTGCGGGGGGGCACGTGGTTTTGCGCATGGTTTTTTTTGTGTGCCTGTCTTTTGTGTTTTATGAGGCCCCGCCAATGGAAGAGCCCAAGAAGGGCAAAGGCAAAGCCAAGGGCAAAGGAAAAGAAGCCCCAAAAGGAAAAGGAAAGGGAAAAGGCAAGGGAAAGGGCAAGGGAAAGCGCCACTTGCCTGCAAGTCACTTGTGTCACTCTGCTGCATCTCGGCTTCGCACAAGCTGTCAACGTCAAAGGTTGAAGCGTTTGCCCTACAGCGGGAGATATGTGGCATCTACGAACAACTGCACTGCAAGTGCGTACAGTACCTTGCCTGCAAATCTGCATCGGAGATGTGTGCAGTGGCATGCAACTATTGACACCATTAATAGCTAATAGAGCTA